AAATGTCCACCTTCTTCCTCAACCGAGGTTTCCCCAGCTCCATTGTCGACAGGGCCCTCAACCAGGTCTGACCCGTCGCATCCTTCACAGATGCTTCCAGATCTGCTGAGCTTTTCCAGCAACTTTGTTTTTGTACCGGGTATTTATACCCTAATGTCACGTTATGACACTGATAATATCATGAGCATTTCTATTAATGATATCGCGACCTTGAGACATAACATATCCATTTTTTCTTAAGATGAAAGAAATTCCAAACAGTTAGAAAGTAATGTTGCCATAGTCCTACCAGACCATAAGCTGATCTCTCATTAGAGACAGACAACCGGTAGTCGTTTAATCAGAGGGGCACTACACCTCAGGTGAGAGAAGTTGAGAAGGAGGGTGTTCATGGTAACCTCAGCCAGTGTGGAGATTGAACTCAAACCCTGTTGCCATCACTTTGCATTGCAAATAAGTTATCCAGCTAGCTGATGCCCTTCACAGTTTTATGCAGGCATATAATATCAATTCAGTAATTATATAGACAGGTAAAACAGAGTTTACAAGACCAACATTTCAAAACTCAATGTAATGCTTTTCTCAGGAACAAAAGTGTCTGGGCTAGTATTAAGCTAAGTTTATTATAGAGTAGCATGCCATGCTTCAAGTGATCCCAGTGTAAGATGGAGAACAAGATCTTTAAACCCTCAGGCCATATGCTATTGATACAGTGATGATACAATGAGCATGTTTTTTAACGGCATACTGACTACAAGACATAACAACATCTCAATTCCATCTTCAATACCTGTCATTCCCCCAATACCATTCCTACTTTTGCTCCCTTGTTTGAGGGTTGAAAATGTGCATTTACCACTGGATCACAACAATCTATTTGCAAGAAGGGTCACTGGACCCAAAAGTTAACTCTATTTTTCCCTTCACAGATGCAGCCAGACTTGCTGAGCTTTTCCAGCAACTTTGTTTGTGAATCTATTGCAAGATTTGGATTGATCACGTTAGTCGCTTTTGCCAAAACCATTCACAGCTCTGCTGCCATCCCTGTAGAACCCTTTTTGAATCAATTTCTCTTCTCTCACGGTAATTGGTGTGGTGACCAGTCTGTCCTTGCTGGTTTTCAGCCGCTGCTTGTATTTGTTATCTTTAATGCGGACGTCTCAAGGTCTTTCTGTCTTTGCAGCGCAGAATCTAGAGCACCACCTCTTTTTTACCTTGGTGATCTGTACATATATCATTCACTGCTTCCGTGTGGTAGCTTATTTATAGCTGGTCACCTTTGTTTTAATTTTTTGCTCTCGTCATGGGTGCAGTTCACATTTCACTGAATAACACTTTCTTAGATCTTTATCACTGTCATGTTGTGAGATCATATTAATGTTGTGAAGAGAGAGAGAGGAGTCAGTTTTCATTCCAGTGAACAGAAACCTTTTAACAAGTATATACAGATAATTAGGCAAAAGACAGCATTCCTAGAACCTTACTGGTTCCTAGTTCCAAATGTGACAGGATATCACTGGTGATGTATACCATTTAGGAGTATAATGGAGCTTAACAATTATCACAGAAACCATCATAAATTGCTTGCCCACCTCCATTATTGACTCATCAAATGCTGAACTGACTAAATTCCTATTCCCTAATGTCTAGGTTGCGACTGACGTACTTCATTATTAATAGCAATTTGATACGCATGGCAATTTACTGGGCCATGTCACAATCAACTAATTGGAAATATGGATTTGTTTTTATCCATTCATTCATCCATCCATTCAGGCCAGCATTTTCTGGCCCTCACCCCCACCCCCAACCAGTTGGTGAGAAGGTGGTAATGAGCTGCCTTCTTGAACTGCTGCATTTCATGTGGTAAACATATAGCAGTGGGATGCTAAGACCTTTGAGCCTGCTGCACCATTTGATATGGTCAGCTGATCATCCAGCACAGTAGCCAATTCCCACTTTCTCCCCAAACCCTTTTACCTCTTTAATGCTAAGAACTATATTTTGGGAACATTCAATATTTTGGCCTCAACTGCTTTCTGCAGCAGAGAGTACACGGGCGCTCCACTCCCAGGGTGAAGAAATTTCTTCTCATCTCAGTCCTAAATGGCCTCGTATTCTTAGATTTGACCTTTAATTTTAGTCTTCAGGTCATTGAAAACATCCTTCCTGTGTTCATCCTGTCCAATCCTGTTCAAATTTTATGATGTGGAGATGCCAGTGTTAGACTGGGGTGGCCAAGGTCAGAAATCACACGACACCAGGTTATGGTTCAACAGGTTATTTGAAAACACAAGCTTTCAGAGCCTCGCTCCTTCTTCAGGTGTTCGTGAGAAACAGAATTTATGAGTAAAAGATCCACACCACTGCTGAGGATATATTAAACAAACCTAAGATGCTGTTAAATCTTTAATCAGTTAAAGGTTTTAATTGATTAATATGTATACGAAATCCCCAAATTCCTTTCAAGTCACTGTCCTGAGAGAACTATAGATTTTACCAGTGTAAAAAAAGAGGTGACATTTTAGGTCAGAGAATACATGTTAGGTGTGAGGCCTTGTTTAGAATTTGTTTGTGTTTTGGTTTGGAGGCAGGATGGTTTTATTTCTAAAGTAGGAATTTATTAAATGCCACTGACCGTCTATAAATTGTGTGTTTTTTAAAGTGTGTGTGTGTGTGTGTGTGTGTGTGTGTGTGTGTGTGTGTGTTTTTTGGGGCTGGGGGGGGGGGAGAGAGAGTGAATGAGAGAGTGTGTGTATGTGGGAGTGAGTGTGTGAGAGAAAAGGAGCGTGTGTGTGTGTGAGAGTGTGAAAGAGAGAGTGTGCGTATGCACGCGCATGCGACAGAGTGTATAGTGTGG